CATCCTTTACCTGTGGCCTCTTTGTAACAGAGATCATTCCTTTGAACAGTATTTAATACCTGGAGTATTGTCTTGAACGATTTAGACTAAATCAATTTTTCATTAGCTGATCACAGATGCATTGGGCTATATGTACTGTTCTCAGTTATGCTTAATTTCTAATTTCAGTAATTTTTTGGTGTTTTCAGTCTTCACAATAAGTTGGCTTTTCTTTATGTATTTTATAGTTTTATGTTTATTACTCAGCTCATAGTTACTGCAGGCCTTGCTGGACGTGAAGGATAGACTTCTGTTGGAAGCATTCAGAATTTTTTTTTCTAGTCTCCCATTGCAGTCAATTAGCATGTCTGCAAAGCAAAACAAAGGTGAAATTGTAGAAGCAGACACACTACTTTGCTGCTAATGCTACTCCCTGCTAGCTTGAATTTCAGAGTTCTGCTCATAGCTGTATGGCAACCTCAAGAGCTAGTATGCACTGATATTTTTCCACTGTAGTTGAACCATTTGTGCTGTTAAGTTTAAGGATGCTCCTCAGATTTTACAAGCAAACTTTTGCTTTGGAGGGATAAATGTATTCAGTACTGAAATATTAGCACCTTAATGCAAATATGTGAAAGTTAGCAGTTTTTAAAAATATCTTTCCAGGTGTCAGCTGTGTTACCTCAGGTCCAGTGCTCTGAGGCTGCTTGCAGCTTTAAACTTCAAGTTGGTATGTTGCTTTCAGAACAGTGTTGCTTTGTGTGGTTAGAACAGAATACAGCTGATACAAAACAGCAGGAAGTATTTGTGCAATACAAACAGAAAATAACGTGATGTGTGTGTAGTACAGCTGTTTTTTCTGCATTAAGTTCATAGCTTGGTTTCTGATAAGTCACCTTCTTACACGTTCATGTGCTTGAAGTACCACAGAATAGTTTAAATACCCATATTCTTAGCAGTCTTTCTGTGTAAGAAGGTATAAGTACATTACAAGTTTTATCTACACTGTATCTTATTAAGATTCTCCACTGATCTAGTTGGAATGCAGAGTTAACAGCTGCAGAAAACTTTAACTGGGGAAGTGCCTCCATCTGTCTTTCTTACCTAGAAAAATTAGTACATTGTTCCTCAAAGGTGAGAAATACCATAATTGAGGATTTTCAGCTAATTGACTTCTAAACTTTTGACTTACCTTTGAAACTTCCTCACAGGGCTTTGACTGTGAAACACTTTGTTTACTTGCTGTTTACTTGCATTCTTTCAGTATGTCAGGTACCTTTTTGTTTGTTTGTTTGGAATTTTTGGGTTGTCTTTGTTTCTTCCTTTTTTTTTAGAAGAGATAAACAATTATGGAGGTAGTAGGAGACCTGTGTTGGACAGTGTGCAGGTTCCTGTCATGAGCATGGGCTGGGCACCAGTGTTTTTGCTGGAATGCAGGTCTGTCTTGTATCTCTCCTGAGGTGTCTAGACTAAGGATGCAGGCTCCCTCTCAGGCTCTGCATCTGTTTGTGCCCTGGTCACTTTACCTGTAGGCTCTGGCATAGAAGTGTAGCTGACTACCTCAGCGAGTTACAGTCCTCATATTTCTGTGCTTGTAGAGATTACCGTGAAGTACCTCTAACAGAAAGGAATGCTGTTTTGCTGAGTTACCTGTGGAATGTCTTTATATATGGTAGAAGATCTCAGGCAAATGTACTCATGTGCTTATAAGGAGACTTTATTACTATTTTTTTTCCCCCCATTGTTTTTAAAACTGTTTAAATGCTGGACGTATACCCAGAGATAAGGCAAATATTTTGCATACCTTCCTTAAATATTAGTGGGTTGTTTTTGCTTTTAGTTTGAAGTTAAGCATAGAAAAAGAGCTTGATCTAGCTCTTTTGGATAGTTAGTTTACTAGGAGATCCCACAAAAGATCTTTAAGAGTAACGTTGCAGCTTCCTTGGTTATATTTTTAGGCTTGAAAATGCACAATTTTTTTGAGAACAAAATATTCTGAGTTTCGAATTTTTTTTTCTCAAAATTGTTTTTTTTGGGGGGTGGAGGATGGAGAATGTGATATTATTTAGTGAGAGTTGTGAGCTATAATTGGGTTATGACATCAGGAGGGGGAATAGATACGTGTGGCAGATCCTTGAAGTCTGAACCAGTAGGATTTGGCTGTTGAGCTACATTGGTCTCCCCCATAAACTGCAAAGTTGCAGCAAGGATTTTGTCTTGTATTTAGTGGTAGGAAAATGGCAGATGAATACACAAAAGTGTATATGTGCATGCATTTACGCATCTGCTTATGCACAATGGGTGTGCACATGCACGCGTCCAGATGACTAATTCTTTGTCTCCTCTTTCCATTCTTACTTTCTACAACAAAGGGAAAGGGAGGAGGAGGCTGATGTCATATCAAAAAAAGGAAACTCGAAGGTGATTGCTGTTGGAGTGGGAGACGAATCGGAAGTAACGACGTGACCTCAATTTGAGTATGGTCATTCTCCTTTATTAGTCAGCAAAACAGGGTTTATATAGGCAAAGCAATGGCATCCTCTGATTGGTTAGTTACTCTTAACCATATTTGGGCAAGATTGCTATATCTCGCTGTGAATGGTGCAGAGCGTCACCTCGATGCGGAAGCGACGATAAGGCAGGAAGCGGCGGCGTGGCAGGAAGCGGTCACCCGGCAGTCCCCCTGCGCCAGCTTTCCATGTTTGCCACTTCACTTCTGCAGCAGTGTTCCGTGTTCGCTGTTTTCAAGGCCTATCTCTGAGACAAAGCCTGGGTTGCTCAACAGGACCAAACTATGTCCCCTCTGCCCCAGCCAGGACTCCACAATTCCCCTTTCTTGTTTTTGAGCAAGCCACGTATAGTTGATCATCCTGGAAAGAGCCTTTTTTAGACAGCTAAAGCAAATACATATTATAATTCCGACAACAACTAACACGATACATATATGCAGACCTTCTACAATTAAACCTTTAAGCCAAGCGGGCAAATTACCAAAAAGTGAGGTGAGTAATCCATCCAAAAACCCCTGGTTTTGTTGTATCTGGTTAGCATGCTGTTTAAGCCACTGTAATTGCTTGTGGATAGACTCACTATGATCAGACAAATTCATACAGGCATCTGTTACACTTGCCAAGGACAGTGGTGGTGTCGAACATCGCTTGCAAAGCAAGGCTTACAGGTTTTACAAACGTCACAGCTGATATCAGTGACAAGTATCTCCTTGTGACCACTCATATGTCTTTCCCTTGGTTCAGGTTATTTCTACTTGATTGTTCTGCTCGCGAGAGTCCACTTGTTGCTCCTCGGCTAACTTTTCTTGTGGACTCAAATCAGGCTTCACGGCTTGGCTAGGCACCCAGACAGGACCGCGACCTGTGGAAACACACATATACTCTCAACCATTAAAGATTACTGGCACTGGTCCAGCCCAGTCTCCAGTAGTCGGGTCCCTATAGATTACTTTAAACCGTGGCAAAGTCGTTGCGCTATTGAACCTTAGGTTCTGATGGTGTATAACCACCGGCAGTGTTTCCAGATCGCCCATAAGGCACAAATCGTTCAGTGTAAAAAGGGCTCGATGCAACCTTGGTTGCGCTTCTGTTTCAGCCCCTCGCTGTTTGTCTAGATAATCTTTTAGCACACGATGAGTACGCTCTATGAGTCCCTGCCCTGTTGGAGAATATGCAGTCCCTGTGGTGTACTTAACTCCCCACGTCAACAAAAATGATCTTAGCTTTTGACTAACATATGCGGGTCCATTATCGGTTTTGATTTCTTCTGGCACTCCCAGTATTGCAAAACACGCAAGCAAGTGCTTACAAACGTGTTGCGCCTTCTCCCCAGGTAAAGCAGTGGCCCATATAATTTTTGGAAAGGTGTCTACTGTAACATGTACGTACTTCAGTCACCCAAATTCAGGGATATGCGTAACATCCATCTGCCATTGCGCAAGCGCCTGCAGTCCTTTTGGATTTACACCTTGTCCTATTCCTGGACCCTGGTTTCCACACTTGGGAAAGGCCTGTACGATATAACGAGCCTCATTCTCTGTCAGCCCAAATTGCCTTCATAGTCCCTTCGCATTTTGGCGGAAATTTTCTTGACTCTGTCTAGCTTGCTGGAACTTGTATACCGGGGGCATAGGGCATGTGGGACTAACCAAGTTGTCAGCGATCTGGTTGCCATGCCCTAGTCCCAGATCCCATTGGTGACTACACACATGGATAACACAAGAAGGCATGGCCCGTTGAGACAGTACGGTCCGCAACTGGATAAACAGCTTGCCTAATCTAGGGTTAACCATCTCCCTAAGCAAGGCATCTGCTACTCGAGGCACCACTCCAGCCACATAAAGGGAGTCAGTTACTACATTTAAAGGCTCATTTAGCCAATTAGTTAAGGCCCAGACCACGGCAGTCAGCTCTAGGGTTTGCAGAGAATCTCCATCCTGTCCTTGTATCATGTGATGACACCACTGGTTCCCCTCCTGCCAGACACAGACCGCCTTGTACAGTCTCTTGCCTGCATCTGTATATACTGTAACTCCTTCGGCCAGCGGTTTCTCCTGAACTCTGGGTTTCTTAAGCCATTGATTACGTTTCAAAATTTGCCACAATTTTCCCTTTGGTTGCTGAGAATGTATCCTCCCGCCATAGCGTAATAGGGCTTCCTGTATGTGTAGGGCATGTCTTA